GCCTGAGGTGACTTAGCATGAGGCATGTGCATGCATGAATCAAGATCGGTCATCTGTATGAAAAATCCACTAGAAACGGCTTAGGCAGGCCTGCCAGTTGGGTGGGTGGGATCTCAGGGAAATCACCAGTGTTAGCCAGATTTATGGAGACTCAGATATGACGCCTGCCTATGGACTCTGTGGGGGTAGGGCTCAGCAAAGGAGCAATGGCCTCTGTTAGCACTTCTGCCTGGGAGCATGATGCCCCTCCACTCTTTGCCTTGAAATCAAACAATTCAATTCTTCCTCTGGTATCCTTGGCAACTTCAAGCTCCTAACCTAGCACTGGAGCTCAGAGTGAGTAAGTCAGAGTAAGTCCATGTGTAGGCCCTTTAAGAGGGACTGCTGGGACTCCAGAGCCCTCCATCTCACTCAGCAACACTCCCTGCTGGTTTTAACAAAATTTATGGGAACATGTCTTCCCAGCACTGGAACCCTAGGCTGTGGGTTCTTATATGGGGTTAGGATGACCCCTTGCTCCTGGAGGGGACCTATGTAGCTGAGATATCCTTCTTGATTTTAACCACCACATATGAGTGTGGGGATGACCAGCCTATCTGCATCTCCACTTCTCCTACCAGTCTCGATGTGGCTTCTTCTATATATCCTCAGTTTTAGAACTTCTGTTCAGCTAGATTTCAGGTAGTTATGAATGATGGTCATTCGGTAATTTAGTTGTAATTTTGATGAGGCTGTGGGAGGTTACAAATAATGCCTTTACCTACACCACCATCTTGACCAGAACTCTGTCACACAGAAATTAAAAGAGAAAAGAAAACTACTACATTTTTAAAGAGAAGCCAAACACACAAAATTTTTGTGAAATCTCCCCTACTTTTAAAATACTGCAGGCCAAATCAAAAACATCTTCAGACAATCTGTACTTTTTTGTTTCCTGGAAGAATTAGTTAGAAATTCAGTCTACAGATATTAGCACAATGCCTTTAGCATAGTAGGGACTCAATAAAGACTTGTTAGATGAACAGATACATCTGAGATTATAAAATAATTCAGGTGTTAAGGAGAAACTTAATACAACAATTGTCCAAAATATTTGCATCATGTTTAAAGGAGAAATTAAAGAAGACTGGTGACACCATCTCTGTAGCCTGCTTTTAGCTTTCAATGAATATAGCTGAGAATTCAGAGCTTTTCATTTTCTGCCTCTGACAGCAAACAGAAGAAAATTAAGAGGAAGATGATTCACAATTAGATAATCAGATGAATGCAGAGACAGAAAGCAGCACTCTATATTCTTATATTTCTAGAGATAAAAAGAAAATATTGTATTTTCATCAGGTAGTCATTTATCAGGAAGGGCACTGTCACACAATATTTTGCAATAAGAATACAGACCACCACATTCCACTAAATGTTCATGTGACAGTATTCTTTCATCTTTTACGATGTTTGCATGCCAAAATCTACTTGATACAAAGAGGTTTGCTACCCTGAAATTCTAATTTAAATTCCTAAAGGTTTGTTACTATCTTTTACTCTTACTTCTGTATATTATTCATAAAAATGACAATAAAATCTGAATATTCACTGTATCCATGTGATAAATGGTGATTATTTTTCCAACCTACCAGAGATTCAACATCAATTTTCCTCATCCTACCTCCAATTCTCACCCTCTTGAAGGATGCTACACTATTTATACAATTTAAAGTAACAACAATGTATTTAATTGGCTAAATTTTTATAACTAATGTTGGTTTTCTACAAAAAAAATGTTTTAATTATTCATGTTATATTTTATATAGTTACACATTATAACTACATTTCAGCTTGCTGTTTTCATTCAAAAATACAAATATTTTAAGTTAAAATTTAGATCTTGGCTTAAATAATTACTGTAGAATTCCTCCCACAGTACCAATTAGCATTCCAGATTACCTATCTAACCATTAACAGAAATCACCAAAATACCCTGAGATCTCATTACAGAGGTCACATGAGACTTATAACTATTCCCATATGGTTGAAAATGATAAGTTATTTTAAAAAAAAAAAAAGTAGACTGGTCAATTAGCACAGCAGGTTAGAGTACTGTCCCAATATGCCAACAGTGCAAACTCGATCTTCCCAGTCATGGCACATACAAGAAGTAACCAATAAATGCATAAATAAGTGGAACAACAAATCAATCAATCAATCTCCCCGCCTTCTTCTCTCTAAAATCAATCAATCAATAAAAAAATGTTAAAGAAAGCATTCACAGAAAAGCATCATTTAGTCTTAGTTTTGGAACAAAATTATTCCTGAGTACTGATTATGACACTACCCAGTTTATAAATGTTGACCTCACCATGTGATTTTTAAATGGCCCTAATTTCTTGGACTAAAAGGAACATTTTATTCCCGTGAACATAACATAATATGGTCCTAAATCAGCCCAAATTCTTCTACCTATATATATAATACACCAGCATTTCTTTCACCCTTTAGGCTAGAAACACTAGATAGGTGTGGTTCTCCCAATCTCAGGCCCCCGCTTTTTTGAATTTTCTGTCTGGAAAATCTTATGTACTTTAATCTACCCACTCCTCTTGCTATATTATATTCTCTTTGTGCCCTTAGAAATACTGTATGTTCTAATTGTGCTTTTTTGTGCATAAAAACAAGTAGAAAACAGAGAAATAAATTAATGTTAAAAATTTTCCAGGAGGATTCTACTTCACCAAGCAAGGTACTGCTTACCCTGTAGTTAATTTTAATATTGTAGCAGGAAAGACTTTTTTCCTTTATGTTTTAATCTGGGGACAAGAAAAAAATCTAGTAATAGAAAATCAACATTAATTTGAGGGGAGATGAAAAATGACTTAATAACACTGCAGCAGGATTAATATTGTACAATAGATCATAGAGCCATAAAACTCTTGACAAATTCATTTTTGTATCACTGTATATTGTTGCTAATAGGGCAGGGCATATCTGAAAGGCTGTTAATACCTTACTGTACAAATGCCAATCCAATTGCACTGCAAGGGTAGAGTGTGCTTTGCAGGAGATGGGAGAAAAGAGAAATTTCCTCACCCACCTGCAGTTTGCATTTAAATGCAACATGGGGAAGAATAAGGGCAGAGTGATTTCAAGCAGGGAGTTAATGTTTGCTTGAAATCAAGTAGTCCAATTCAGAAAAAGAGTTGATAGTTACCAGGATATTTGCTTCCACTTCAAGACCATCTAGCCAAGGAATAGAGTGGAAAATATATCAGCAAATGACACAAGACAAATTTTATCCCAAACAGCTATCCAAACAAAATGTCAAGCCAAAAGACCAAATAGGTGAATCTTAACTTGACACAAAAGCTACCAAATCCTTAAACAAAAAAAGAAGCTATCAGATCTTTACACTACAAATAACTACTTTGAGCTAAGATTAAGACTAGTAGGAACTGAATTTATCCTCTGCCTGAAAAAAATAACAAAATTTTAAAAAACAGAAAAAATAATATAAAAACAGAAAAAAATGTAATATTAAACATCTTAAAAGAAAGTATCTTAAATACTATGAACATCTGGCAAAAAAAAAAAAAAAAAAAAAAAAAAAAAGACAGTGAATCCTGAGACATGGGACATAAAGGAGACAAGCCCTATGGCTGTCTCAGCTTACTACCTTGAAGAGAGTTTCCAAGCCCTGGAACAGGAAAGGGAAAGTGAGGTGAAACCCTGAGTAGGCACTGGCTTCTGGGGCACGCAACCTGTGCATCTGCAGCTCAGAAGGGGCCTGTGTTTGATTTAATGCTCTGAAGTTACCGTCTTGAAATTCTAAATAATTTTTACAAAGGGTCACACTTTAATTTTATATGAGCCCTGCAAATTTTATAGCTGGTCCTGCCTGGCAGGTGCCCTAAGCTGAGAGTCCTAAATCCAACTCAGCTAGAGTTCATAGAGCAGAATAAGCACATACATATTTAAAGAACGATTCAAGGCCAGGGAAAGAATCATCCAAAAGGATTAGGGGTAATAGTACCTGTCATGGACACAGGCTGGGAACAGTGCTATTCCCAAAGGTCAGATCCAGAAAACTCGTAATTCAGAGGCAATAGGTAAAATACTCAAGAAGATCTTGCCTCATAAGTGGAGAACCATTAACCCGAGACCAGCGGTTCTCAACCTGTGGGTCGCGACCCCTTTGGCGGTCAAACGACCCTTTCACAGGGGTCGCCTAAGACCATCCTGCATATCAGATACTTACATTATGATTCATAACAGTAGCAACATTACAGTTGTGAAGTAGCAACGAAAATAATTTTATGGTTGGGTCACAACATGAGGAACTGTATTTAAAGGGCCAGAAGGTTGAGAACCACTGCCCTAGACTGACCACTCCAGAGCCATACATAAAAAAATCATAAAAGCACAACTCCAAAGACCAAATTACTTTCAAGTAAGTTAACTGCATCCTAGAAGAAAGCTCAAGAAAACTTGTAGGAAGACAACAATATCCAGCTTCCAACAAGGTAAAACTCACAATATCTTGGCATCCAAACAGAAATTACCAGGTACAAAAAGAAGTGGAAAACACAATTCATAATTAGAATAAAAATCAATTCACAAATGCTATGGACTGAATGTTTGTCTCCCACCCCAAATTCATATGCTGAAATCCTAACCTCCAAAAGTGAGGGATGATACTAGAGCAGTGGTTCTCAACCTTCCTAATGCCGTGACCCTTTAATACAGTTCCTCATGTTGTGGTGACCCCCAACCATAAAATTATATTCGTTGCTACTTCATAACTGTAATTTTGCTACTGTTATGAATCGTAATGTAAATATCTGATATGCAGGATGTATTTTCATTGTTACAAACTGCACATAATTAAAGCATAGTGATTAATCACAAAAACAATACGTAATTATTTTCCGATGGTCTTAGGCGACCCCTGTGAAAGGGTCGTTCGACCCCCAAAGGGGTCGTGACCCACAGGTTGAGAACCGCTGCTAAGCCTTGGTCAAAATCTATTTTTATGCAATGGTCCAACATTCCAGACTTACCTAATTAGTTTCCTCATGATTAAATTTAGCAGAAAGAGGAAGGACCTTTAGAAGGGTTAAGTCATGAAGGTGGAGTCTTCATAAGTTGTATCAGTGCTTAGCCCTTCCATCATGTGAGGAAACATAGAATGAGAAGTCTAAGATCTGGAAAAGAGACCTTACTCAACCATACGTGCATTCTGATCTTGGACTTCCAGCCTCCAGAACTGTGAGAAATAAATTTCTGTTGTTTATAAGCCATCCAGTCTGTGGTATTTTGTTACATAGCAACCTGAAAGGACTAAGCTAGGAACCAACCCAAAACTAACACAGATGTTAGATTTAGCAGATAACAACATTATAAGAACAACATGGCCGAATTTGTAGGCTACTACTAATAAATCAGTACTTAGGTGGAAATTTATATTAAACATCTTAATAGAAAATATCTTAAATCAATAAACCCAGCTGTATCCATTAATAGCATCCTTCCTCCTTTGTTTTTCTTCTACCTTAAGAAACTAGAACCTGAAGAACAAATTAAAACTCAGACTGCAGAAAGAAGGAAATGATAAAAAGCATAGTGAAAAAATGTTTTAAATGGAAATCAAAAACAAGAAAGATAAGAAATGAAACCAAAAGTTGGTTGGTTCTTTGAGACAATCAATAAAACTGATTAAAACAAACAAAAAACAACAACAACAACAAATGTCTAGACAGACGGATAAGGAAAAAAGAGAGAGAACAAGAGAAAATACCAATTACCTGTATAAGAAAGAAGTGTCGTCACTACAGTTTTAGAGATATTTAAAAAAACAGAATATTGTGAACTACTCTAAACTATAAATACGACAATCGTAGCATAAAATGAACAAAATTACTGAAAAGACAAGGCACCAAGGCTCACCCAAAAAGTTAATCTGAATAGCCCTTTATCTTCATTAAAAGTAGTCACCCTCCCACAAAGAAAACTCCAGGCATAGATGGCTCCATTGATGAACTCTACCAAACATTTAAGGAAGAAATAATACCACTAAAACAATTCTTACAGACAACTGAAGTGGAGCTTAATCTCATTCCATGTGGTCAGAATTTACTGTGATAATAAAACCAGACAAAACATTGTTAAGATAAGAAAACTACAGACTAATACCCATGATAAATATAGATGCAAAAATTCTTAATACAATCTTATCGAATTGAATCCACATTATCTATTAAAAGGATAATGCATCATGAAGCAGGGCTTATCTAAAAAATGCAGGACTAGTTCAGCATTTGAAAACCAATTAGTATAATCCATTCACTAGATTAACAAACTAAGAGAAAAGCCATATGATCATCTCAACAGACACAGAAAAAGCATTTTATAAAATCCAACATTCATTCTTTTTTTTCTTTGATAATCCTCACCCAAGGATAGTTTTTCCATTGATTTTTAGAGAGTGAAGGGAGGGAGGAAGAGGGAGAAGAAGAGGGAGAAGAAGAGGGGAGGGGAGGAGAGGAACAAGAAAGAGGGGAGGGAAGTAGGGGAGGAGGGTTTCACAGATATATACATATGTCAAACATACCTCAATAATGCTTTTTAAAAAAATGTACAACATGTTCAAATATAAGGCACATCAGCTAATTCAGATCACTATCCTGTCTCCATTAATAGAATCCTTTCTCTTTTATTTTTCAACATTTACAACACTACCAGTAAAAGCACTTCTCAAGTTAGAATAATGTCCATCAAATTCTCCCTCAAGTTCCTACATTACAACTAAAAGTGTTTTTATACTTAATGAAATGTTTTAGTGAACCTTTCCACCAAACTGATCTTCCTATAGCCTATTTATCTCAGTTGTGGATTAAACTGAGCTATGCACAGAGGAAGGTTGCTTTGGGTGAAACCCTATTTATGAAAAGGCCAAATTAGCCTCTACTTCCCACTGCTTAAGAACCACTTTTCTAATTCAGAGAATGAACTTGAGTGAAAAAATTATTTCTCTTCATTATTTATAGTAACTTCACAAAAATACATTTCTTGCTGCTAAAGTACAATCAAGGAAACTGAGGCAGCTTAGAATGAAGCAGATGGAAATGTGAGGAGATAGCTCACCACCAGTTCATGGCTAACTGGCTAGTTTCTTGAGACAATTATGCCTTACTTCATGCAATATATAATAAAAAATTATTTTTTTGTACACAGAACCTATTTCCCCATTAACAAAGTTTTGTTTCTAATTGACCTTCAATTGATGGCTTGGATAACTTAAGGTTGATGAGAAACTTTAGAGATGCTAGAGTAACCTGTTAAGACTACCTTAAAAAGCAAGAATCCTATCTAATAAAGAGGGAATATGCTAATTGACCCTCACAATGTTGCAAGGATGGCAGCGCCCACAGCCAATAAAGAGGGAATATGCTAACTGACTGCCCTACCCTCAAAGATGGCAGCGCCCACAGTCACAAGATGGCAGCACCCAGTCTCCTCAGCCCCACCAGGGTGGTAGGCGGGTGGCAAGGCTGGGCCTGCACCCAGGGCCACCCAAAGCTCAGGTAACCAGGGTCGGCTGAGGCTTGCGCTGCCAGCAGTGGCAGTAGCAGAGGTGTGATGGGGCGTCGCCATCCCCTGATTGCCGGGTCGCCTCCCACCCCTAAGGGCTCCGGGACTGTGAGAGGGGCCAGGCCGGGCTGAGGCCCCCCCCCCCCCCCCCAGTGCATGAATTTTCATGCATTGGGCCTCTAGTACTTTCATAACATGAAACATTACTCCCAGATTTACCTACATATGAATTTTATAAAGGAAAGAATACCTGTAAGCAAAAATTTTTCAAATATAATAAATACGTAATAAAGATAAAGGTGACAGGTACAGGAAGTAGCCAAAAAAAGATTTGTTGTGGAAAGGCAAAAGCTGCTATTTCCACTTGCAAGTCCAATAGTTTTGAGATATTAAGCAATAAAACTCTCAGGTCACTAAAACTGTCTCTCTGAGCTAGAGAACTAATCTAACCTATAACACAATACGCTGACTACTGCATGCTCATCAAAGACTTAGTAAATGCTTTACTAAATAGATCAGAAAGAACATTTCAAAACCTCCTTAATGTAGAAACTGAGAGTAGAAGATGGCCCTTATTTATTTTATGGAAAAATCAAGAGTATCTCCAAGGAGTGGTTAGGTTTTCAGCTTCAAGAAAATCCTAATGGGATCACTTTCTTTCAAAACCTCTAGCTTAGGTACTCAATGTAATGATTCAAAACTGTGCTGTCTAGTACAAAGTACATCAGCATAGAACTATGCTGTCACATCACATGTGGCTATTTACATTAAAATGAATTGGAAAATTCAGTTCCTCAGTCACGTAAGTCACATTTCAAGTGCTCAATAACCATAAGTGGCCGGTAGCCACCATGCTGGACAGCACAGATAACAAGACATTTCCACCAACACAGAAATTTTTACTGGACAGCGCTGCTCCAGAATGACCAGTTTAGAGTAAGATAATGTCCCTTTTTCACAAACTTTTTTACTATTTTAGATATTTTCATAAATGATGTTTCATTTTGGTAAAAATATTTTCACTGAAGAAATATAATTTTATGAGTCCATGCTTTTGGAAGTCCATCCATGGAATAAAATTAGCTTTAGATACCACCATCCTAAAAGCAGCACAGAATTTTCTTTTTAATCCTATAAAGTTTCCTTTACGTTGGGTGTATTTAACTACCTGAAAAGTGCCATTGGTAATTAGCACTCAAAATTGTTCTGCCTCCCTTTGGGACATTTGAAGGCTGAAGAGAAGAAAATCATAACAACTTTACCAAATCAACAACTCAGAAACTGAGAAAAAAATAGTTAAACAATTAAAAGCCATGGATATAGTGATAGAAAATCTAATGACTTTTACAAATGAATTCGGGGGCTTGAAAGGCCAACAAAACTCAGTAAGTGCAAAGGTTTTTCAAAATAAACTATCACTTTATTAATGGATATAAATGATGGTAAACTGCATGAATAATTCAGGTCCATTTTCATTTAAGTGGTATCTTCACTGAAGCCACATATTATTGACTTCACAGTACAGTGGGGCCTTGACTTACGAGTTTAATCTGTTCCATGACGGAGCTCGTAACTCAAATTACTCGTATGTCAAATCAAAAGTAAACAAGTGAAACACTTGATGCTGGGCTGATGTTGTGGTGTTCACTGTGACGTTCGCTGCAACGTTCGCTGTGCCAACTAGCGGTGGGGTATCTGAAGCTGGCTCATAACCCGAATTTTAGCTCGCAACTTAAAGCAAAAAATCGGCCTTGAGACGGCTCGTATCTCAAAAAACTCGTTAGTCAGGACACTCGTAAGTCAAGGCCCCACTGTATCTGTCTTCCAGTTGACTACTAACAAAACTACTCTAATCCCAGTTTGCAGGCAATAGTGGAAATGAATGTTATTTATTATTCACCTACCTCTTTCACTTGTCAAGATAAAAATCTTTCCCAAAGTCATATAATTTAATCAGCCAAAAACCTTACAAAGGGAAAGGAGGGCATAAAGTATACCATCTGGTCCCAAATATCCTAATAAAAGAGAAACATGGTAATTAGTGTACGTCCGCTACCCTTCCCATTGGCTAATCAGGGCGATATGCAAATTAACTGCCAGCCAAGATGGCGGCCGGCAGACAGGCAGCTGAAGCTAACATGAGGCTTGCTTGCTTCAGTGACAGAGGACTCCAACATTCCCTGCCTGCCTTGCCGGCCTCTGAGCTTGCAGTTTGAAACATTGTTACAAATATAGAAGCTAAACAAAATTGCAGAAACCTGCTTTTAGCCTGCTGGGATCTCAGAGCTGGAGTTGATACAGTGTTTCGATTATAGAACCCAAACAAACCAGATACGTGCTTTCAGCAGCAGAGGCCTCAGAGCTGGAGCCAGAGCTAAAGCAGGCCCAGAATTTAAAAAACAAGAAAAAAAGGAGCAGTTGGGAGCTTCAGTCAGCCGCCAGCCTGAAAACAGCCCTCAGCCCCTCACCCAGACTGGCCAGGCACCCCAGTGGGGACCCCCACCCTGATCCAGGACACCCTTCAGGGCAAACCAGCCGGCCCCCACATGTGCACCAGGCCTCTATGCTATATAGTAAAAGGGTAATATGCCTCCCAGCACCGGGAACAGCGGAGCCGAGAGGCCTCCCAGCACTGGGATCAGCGTGACAGGGGGCAGCGCCCAAACCCCCTGATCGCCCTGTGGCTCTGTGTGACAGGGGACGGGGCCACAACCTCCCCATCCGCCCTGCTCTGTTCGTGACAGGGGAAGGCGCCCCAACCCCCTTATCAGCCCTGCTCTGTGCCTGATGGGGGGAGCTCCCCAACGCCCCAACGCCCTGATCGCCCTGTGGATCTGTGTGTGAGAGGGTCAGCGCCCCAACCCCCTGATCAGCCCTGCTCTGTGTGTGACAGGGTGTGGCGCCCCAACCTGCCCCCCCCCCCCCCGACGGGCCCTGCTCTGTGTGTGACGGGGTAGAGCCATAACCTCCCCATCGGCCCTGCCCTGAGTGTGACAGTGGCAGCGCCCCAACCCCCTGGTCAGCCCTGCTCTGTGGGTGATAGAGGGCAGCGCCCCAACCCTCTGATCCACCTTGCTTTGTGTGTGATGGGGGCGGTGCCCCAACTCCCCTATCGGCCCTACTCTGTGAGTAACAGGGGGGAGCTCCTCAATCCCCTGATCGGCCCTGCTCTGTGCGTGACAGGGGAGAGCTCTCCAACCCCGATTGACCCTGCTCTGTGCGTGACAGGGTACGGAGGCCCAACCCCCCTGATGGGCCCTGCTCTGTGCGTGACAGGGGAGAGCCCCCCAACCCCGATTGACCCTGCTCGGTGTGTGACAGGGTACGGAGCCCCAACCCCCCTGATGGGCCCTGCTCTGTGCGTGACAAGGGGCAGCGCCCCAACCCCCTGATTGGCCCTGCTCTGTACGTGACAGGGGGTGGTGCCGCAACCTCCCCATTGACCCTGCCTTGAGTGTGATGGGGCGGTGCCCCAACCCCCAATCGGCCCTACCCTGAGTGTGACTGAAGGTGGCATCGCAACCTCCCAATCTGCCCTGCTCTGTGCATGACAGGGGCGGCACCCCAACTCCCCAATCAGCCCTGCTCTGAGCCCGACCAGGGGCTGCACCTAGGGATTAGGCCTGCCCTCTGCCACCCGGGAGCAGGCCTAAGCCAGCAGGTCGTTATCTCCCGAGGGGTCCCAGACTGCGAGAGGGCACAGGCCGGGCTGAGGGACCCCCCCCCCCCCCCCCCCCCGAGTGCACAAATTTTTGTGCACTGGGCCTCTAGTCCTATATAATAAAAACCTAATATGCGAAGCGTCCGATCGGCCATTCAACCAATCAAAGCATAATATGCTCATGATATGCTAAGGCGGCTCAACCACTTGCTATGACGTGCACTGTCCACCAGGGGGCAGACACTCCGACCAGGTTAGCTTGCTGCTGGGGCCTGGCCAATTGGGACTGAGCAAGACGAGCCGGATACATCTTGGAGCCCTCCCGCAGTTCCTCCCTGGCTGGCCAACCTCCCACATCTTTCCCCTGCCCCGATCATGCACCGGTGGGGGTCCCTCAGCCTGGCCTGTGCCCGCTCGCAATCCAGGACTCCTCGGGGGATGTCGGGGAGCTGGTTTTGGCCCAATCCTGCAGGCCAGGCCAAGGGACCCCACTGGTGCACGAATTCGTGCATCAGGCCTCCAGTCAATCTTGCCTAATAATAAACATGTAAATTGACCGTCCCTCCACTACGCTCACCAGCCAATCAGGAGAGCATGCAAATTAACCCAACAAAGATGGCGGTTAATTTGCATACATAGGCACGAAGCAGCGGAGCGAAGACCGAAGGCTCTGGCCGGAGCGAAGGCCTGGGTCCCAGGTGCTGGAGGAAAACCGGTGCCGGCAGCCAGGGGAAGGGAAGGCCTATTGCACAAATCTCTTCGTGCAACGGGCCTCTAGTATACTATAAGAAAATCCCATTCAAATAAAATAACAGCCATTGTGACACTAAGAATTATCCATCCTTTGGTGTTTCAAATTATACTTTGATAAGCTCTAACTCTTTATAGATCTTCAAAATGAACATCCTCACAATTACACATATCTGCAAAGGTCTAAAAAAGGCTAGGCAGCAGTATCTGTTATTCTAAGAACATATTTAATGCACAGCAGACATCTACGGAGGTATTTTCATCAACAGAAGAACCATTAATTATTTCTGAAGCCCCTACAGAAGAAAATATAGACTTGGAATGGCTGACAAAACAAAAAGACTGGTTTGATGAACTGATGCTCTAAGAGAGGGGTTTATGTGCTGAATCATTTCGTGTGGGTCCTCTTTGTAAACCTGGAAGAGCAGCTGGTGCTCCACTGTAAGGGGGGGGGGGGGGGAAGTACTGTATGGAGGTGTAACAGCAGGGTCTTACTAAGCTTAGTAAATTACTAACAGGTTAAAAAATGAGGGTGGTTGTTTAACCTATAGGAAGAAAGCAAAAGAAAACTCAGTGCACACAACTAACTTTGACTTTTCATTTTTTCCTTCCCTCCTATGTATCCATAAATCATTTGGGGAAGCTACTATTGAATAAGAACAAGGACTATCAGCTAAAGAAATCGGATAGAAATGCAATATGAAACCATCATTTCTACTATTAAGCCGGGGGGGGGGGAGGAAATAATGCAAATATGAAAAGCAAATATTGTTGATTCAGAAAAATTCTTAAGTAAATTTTAAAAAGTGTGAAGCTGCTGACTAGAATGAATCAAAAGTAGATTTAGTCATTTTATTAGAACTTTGCAACATGAGGAAATGTACCCAAAAACTTCATCAAGCCATCAACAACAAATTTAGAATGTGTTCATCTTGTTACTCAGAAGGCAGTTGAATCAGCAAGTATCAAAAGCAAAAAAATTAATCTCAATTAGTGAGACACCTGGTCACCCAAGGACTCATTCCCTCATGCAGATACAAAGAATAGCATCTTTTTTATTTATAAGTGCTTGAGTGTATACAAACATAGGGCTGTGAACTGATTACAAAAATTAATGGCTAGGACACTGATGGCTTAGAAAAAAAGTCACATAACTAGGTTTCAGCAATAACCAGGCCTACAAAAGTATCTGCTTTATGCAGAGTATTTGATAGTGAGAAGGCTCTAAAATTTCTACTCATATGAAAGCTAAAAAATATTCCTGATGCAGACTTGATGACATCATTCAGATCTCTGTTTAAAAAAAAAAATGTTATTGAAATCACAAACCACATCACCAATCTAATTTTTCAATGTGAATTATCACAGAAAAACTGAGAAGGAATGAATGAGAGCTCTAAGCTAAGTCATATTTAGTCTTTTTTAAAAAATGTATTTTTATTGATTTCAGAGAGAAAGGGAGAGGGAGAAAGATATAGAAACATCAATGATGAGAGAGAATCATTGATCGGCTGCCTCTTGCACACCTCCTACTGGGAATGGAGCCCAAAACCTTGGCATGTGCCCTTGACCGGAATCAAATGCCAGGACCCTTTAGTCCGAAGGCTGACGCTCTATCCACTGAGCCAAACTAGCTAAGGCTAGTCTTTTTTTTTAATCACTCAGAGCTTCCATGCCAACTACCCTGATATTTGAGTCAAATCTTGAACCTTTGGGTCATTGTCCTCAGTGCTGTGGTACTAGGTAATTCTTGCCACAGAACCAAATTTGGTCATTACCCAGTCATTAGAATGGGCTCTCCTAGCATCTTGGTACAACAAAAGAAATTGGCTGGAACTTTAGCATGCAGAAATTGCTTTGCTTTTAATTTTTACTTAATTCCAAACTTTAAAAAACTGCAAGAATAGTACAAAGAACTGCCATATACTCAGATCCATCAACCACTCACATTTTCTGACATCGAAAATATGACATTTCTGATCTCTGACCTGTATGTTTTTTTCCTTCTGAAAATGATTTTATATTCTAACAAGTCCTCTCATTTCTCCCACTTTAAAGATACTAAATCAAGTGAATAAACACAAGGAGATTTGGTTGTTTCCTAAGGATAAACACTGAGCAAGGTTATCATCAAAGGACTAGATATTCAGGGAGTAACTCCCAAATTACTATATTCAGGTAGGGGTGGAACGAAAAAAAAATTATGAATCAATCAGTGTAAATTTCAGTTACTACTTGACCAATTTCCCTCCATATCGTAAATTTTTCTGAGTAATTTATTACTCTCACCACTACTGTATATTTGATTCAACAATATACCTTTCCCTTGCTTAAAAAATAACCAAAATTCTGAATAGCATATAGTTTATATAACTGCACTAAATTACATCTTTAAGAATTTTAGAGGTTGGATTTTATGATATCTTCAAATTACTAGATACAGTCTGGGGTGTTTCAAAAACAGGGTTAAAATAAGTTTTCTTATCAGTTTGGTTTAATGAGAGAGAAAAAACGAGAAAGTGTGATCCTTGGAATCAGCGTGCTCTAAACAGCCACCTTACTCACTTCCTGTTCCCATTCTCACTGTTAAGAGATTTTAAACCT